CCTGCTGGGCAGGGAATCAATGAACCCATGACTAGAGGGCTCCTCCTCCTTCCGAAAAGGAAGACTTTGATGTTCAAAAGCCCAGCCTGCCTTGTTTTACCAAGGGAAGATGGGGAGGGCTTTCAGCTCTCCTTTTGAGGTGGTGGGGAGGCAGAATTTTGGGGTGCTCCCATCCATTGAAGGCAGCTTCACAGCAAGGCAAGGGGACAAGAAAGCCAATTTGGATGGTCAGCAGTGGAGGAGCTGCGTCAGCTGCTGCTGTGACACATCGTGCTGATGCACCTTCTCCATGCGGTGAGCCTGGCATTGGGACATCCCGCTCCGGCAGGATGGGGACAAGGGACACCCCTGTTCCTGCCTGGGACGCTGGGTCATGTGTGGTACATGCCAGCACGGTGCTCAACACCCACACAGCTACGCTGTGTGCCCGTGTGTTTACATTCACAACAGAGGTTTCGCTCAAAAACTGGGAGCGCTCCTGCTATTTGGGGAGGTGCCAAATGAGGAAATAAATAGAAATGTGGACTAAAGACCTTGAAACCAACTCTTGCCCTTATCTTTTCTGGATAAACTCAGAGAGATCGGGAGATCGGTTGGCACCGCTTTTGGTGACCCAGGGAGGCTGGCAGCTATGTGTGAAGTACGATGCCAGAGGAGGGTGGATTTCTGGACAAACCCTTGGGCAACGTTGCCAGCAGGCTACAAGGAGATGAAACCGAAGGGAATTATTTGCGTGCTTCTGCACAAATCCTGGGAGTTTAAGGAGCAAGCATGCTAGGACGTAGCACAGTAGGTGGGGCGAAGGGATTTGGTGGGGCAGTAATGTGGAGGTACAAAGGACACAGATGTGGCAGAAGGACCTGTGCCAGGGCGAAGTGGGAGTATTTATTAAATCTGTTTATCTGTGTTATATTAAATCTGGTTATCTGTGATAACCATCTTACAGGAGAGGAGCTGGATTCCTGGGGACCCACACGTTGGAAGAAAAGTGTCAGGAGGACCTTCAGCTTCAGAGCTTGACTGCTTGGCTTCTGCAAAATAATAGAGAGAGAAGGAGGTAGTAGAGAAGCCAGCGAGCACAATACTGAAGCTTTCCAAGGAGCACGCACACAGAGCACATTGAATTAGTTGAAATGTGGCAGCACAACAGCAACCTTCCTTGAGTCAGACTGGCAGGGCTCCCCAAGCACCAGAGTGGCCCATGGTCCCAGCACCAGAGCACATTGAATTAGTTGAAATGTGGCAGAACAACAGCAACCTTCCTTGAGTCAGACTGGAAGGGCTCCCCAAGCACCAGAGAGGCCCATGGTCCCAGCAGAGCAGCAGAGGCCAAGAGGGGACCCCAGGAAGGTGCAGTGACCAGGAGTTAGGGACAAGCCTTCTCATTTCTGTTTAGTTTCTCTGGTTACTTGACCTTTTCCTTACAAAAAATGTTAGTTCCAGGAGCATGGAGCTGTTCTTCCAAATCTGTATTGCTTTTGTTTAAACAAAACAGCTTCCTTGATTTTAAAAAAAGGATTTTGTGGGGAGGGTGTAGGTGAGCAGTCCCTCTCTCATCCCTCAGGGGACCTGAATTGTCTGGTAAACTGCCAAAATGCTGCGGGACTGCTGGTCAAGCTTCACTGCCTCCCATTCCTAAGCACTACCTGAAAGAGCAGCCGTTTGCAAACAGATCCGGGTGTCAGAAAAGCACCTTCAATCAGAAGTGGGTCCCTTAAGCCTTTAGGGTTTTGTTTTTAAGGACAGTATGGAGGACCCAAATTCTGGGGCTTGTTTTAGGTAAAGTGATATCTCCAGGAGGTACCTGGTGTCGCTCTGATTGCAGGGGGTGTGACAGTCTCTTTGTCTGAGCCTGAGGTGGGTTTTGTTTGGAGAAATAACTGGGGTTGCATCCTTTGTGGGTCTGAAACAGTAACTGAAGTGGATGGTAGCTGCAGGCATGGTCTGAGCTTTGATGTCTTCTGTGGGCAACTAATCTTCTGACACCAATTAATCACATGTCTAAAATAGAAGGGGTTTTTAACGTAAGAGACTTGTTGGCATCCAAGGAGGTGAACCATTTTTATTCCTTTCCGGTGAGAAGGTATCATTTGTGGTTTGTGTGGGCCAAATGGCCAGTGGTTTGTTAAACAGAGGACACTCAGTGTCTTGCCTGGGGGGAAAAAAGGTTCAGGGACTGGTCAGGTCTCTCAGCAGCTCTGATCCATCAGCATTACTCTTCTCCAGAAGCTCTCCAGGACAGTTGCAGTTCACTAGCGAAGACAATGGCAAATAAATCATCCTGCAAGGATGTCCTCGCTACAGCTGAGCGCTGGCAGGAATGGCTGAACCCAGCTGGAAGCGCAGACCACGAGCTCAAGTCCTGCACCTGCCTCTTCATCCAGCAGGAAGCAGCTGAAATCCACCTCACCTTCGCATCTGTTCTCGGGAGCAGGAATGGTTTCGCCATGCCACTTCAACACTGGGTAATCACATAAGCTTTCTGAGAAATTGGCAGTATTTCTCTTCTAGCAGTCCTTTCATTCAAGATCTTTGGAGCCGTAAGTCCTTGTAATACCAGTCCTATGCTCTTCCCAAAGTTCGAATGCAAGCCGTGTTGCCAACACTTGGCAAGAAGGGGTGTTGCTGATGCTGTTCCAGCTGTAAGGAGTAGTGTATTCACAGCTCCAACTTTGGGAAGCCAAGGAATAACGGCAGGGGAACCACTGAGCTGGTAAGTCATAGGAAAACTCCACAAGAGGCCTTGTTAAACTTTCTACTGCTAGTCTTTTTATCGCAGGACTGATAGGTGGGAGCTGTTTTTGGGAAGGAATGGAAAATGAGAGGAGCCAAAATAGCAAAAATTAAGAGGGAAAGGTGGGAAGCCAAAATAGGGGTTTTGGGGCTCTACCACTTGTATATAAGATAACTTGAAAGCCATAATGATAAATGCAATTCAAAGGGTAAATGACCCTCCAAAAAGCAAGGTCACACAGCATTTCAACTGCCTGCCGGAGAGCAGCCTCTTCTCTGTGCTCCTGTAAATCATCTACCATTAATGGGGGAAACATCAGTCCATGAATACATAAAACACAACAACTTTGAGAAGAGCTGGCACGAGTTCCTGCTCATGTGCGCAGTGGGTGGCGCTTCAGCCACCAACGGGCTCAACCCCCGCCTGGCATCCAAGTCCTGTCCTTCCCATCAAAAAGGTTCTTCAAAAAACAATATACAAACAAACGTAGAGATGAATTGGATGTGCTTTACATCCATAAATCAAATAAGAGAGTGAAAAATTAAATAATGGACAAGTTGAATGCTGGTTCTTGCGCTTGTCTTCCAGACAGCAGCCTCTTCAACCTGCTGTACACATCTCTACTGCAACTGTGACAGAAATGTTCAATTAAAAGTGACCCCTGAAATTCAAAGATGGGAAAAAACCTACAAGGAATGCTGCTACTCCATTGTTTTTCACCAAATGCCACATATTTTTCTCCTCCCTCCCCTTTTTGTCTTCTCCCGCTCCCCACACTCTTCTTTAGGGATGATAGAGATGAGAGTTTCAAGGAACATCATCCAGTTGGACCTCAAATTTCAGTGCAAGATGTGACAAGGTCACATTCTGTTGTGAGGCACCTCAGACAACTCTTAAGACTACTTCACTAGAAAGAACAAAACAATGATCCTGACATCCAGAGAAGTAAATAAGTGTATCTAACACCTCAGCAAGGATTTGAAAACTTTAAAAATTCAGGTGAAAAGGGAAAAAAAAAAAAAGAAAAACAGATTACAATTTCTTACTTTTGCTTCAGGTTGTCGTAGGTAAATGCAGGGCCCCTTTCTGCCGGGTGCTGGAAGCACATTATGAGAGCAGTCCTGTGACAAAGAGCTCATCACCTCCAGGGCCAGAGTGCAGGGCAAAGCCAAGGGTAGAGGGCAAGAGCCGTTGGGTCAGACAGCACAGGCAGCAGCAACGGGGATGATGTTGGTCTTAATATTTGTTCCAGCTTCACAGCCTACTCCCAGCCCTTGTTTATGTACAGAGCAGAAAGTCTGACCCTTCCTCTCCTTGTTACACCGAAGGCACACTTCACTCTCCCAGGAATCACAGGGAGGAAAGCTAAGAGATGTCTGCTACACAGAATCACAGCATGGTAGGGGATGGAAGGGACCTCTGAGGATCATCCAACCCAACCCCGCTGCTAGGGCAGGATCACCCAGAGAAGATCACATAGGAACATGTCAAGGGGTTTGAATGTCTCCAGAGAAAGAGACTCCACAACCTCTCTGGGAAGCCAGGTCCAGTGCTCTGGTACCCTCACAGTAAAGAAATTTTTCCTTATGTTTAGGTTGAATCTCCTGTGTTCCAGTTTGGGACCACTGCCCCTTGTTTGCTCCCATCCTCCTGACCCCTGCCCTTTAGATATTGATAAGCATTAATGAGATCCCCCCTCAGCCTCCTCTTCTCCAGGCTGAACAGCCCCAGCTCTCTCAGCCTTTCCTCACATGGGAGATGCTCCAGTCCCCTCACATCTTCGTACAGGGCTTGGACAACTCTCCTCTACGGAGCCATCCCACTCTTTTCCCCATTCTCCATCCCACACG